GTCTCTCTCTGTCAAATAAATAAAATCTTTTAAAAAATAAATAAATAAAATAAAAAAATAAAAAAATTGACAAAAATGGGTTTTTTAAAAAGAAAACATCAAATATTAGTTAACAGTGCTAAGACTTCAATGTAATAATTATCTGTTGTGCTGATGTTTAAGTTTTTCAGTTGGTTTTAAATATAAGGTCTTGGGCTCTTATGTGTGGGATAAATTCATCATGTTTGCTTTGTGCCTATCATTCCTGATAAGACTTGTTTGCTGTTTTTGAGGCCTAAAAAAACACTTCTGGCATTGTTAATATAATTTACAAATCCTGTGGAAGACCACTTTGTTTAAATAGGGATCCTACTACTGTGGAATCAAGAGTTTTTTGTTTTCACAGGAAATAGACTTATAACTAACTATGCTTACTGTTTTCAGTAAATGTCCTGACAGTATAACTTGACATATTTGCTGTAATTCAAATGGTGAATTACAAACTTAGGAAGGATGAGAAAAGTCTTGAAAGATTAGAAAAGAAAGGACTGACATAATTGTGGAGTCCATCTTTAAAGATTGTGGGTGTAGGAAGAAAATTCATGAGTGATAACCAGTACCCTAACGAAGTTATTAGGGAAGTTAAAAAAATTTTTTTTTTCTAACAGAATTAATTAGCAACTATTTGAACTCATGATTCTAAGAAGCAGCTATCTTGATTCTGAAAAAAATGAGCATTTGCTTTGCTTTAGTAGACAACAAGCCAAGTAGATTAGAGAGAAATAATAAGTATAGCATATAAAACTTTTTATATCTTCTCTTTTGTTGCCTTGGCTGTCCTTCTAGAGATATTAACATGCATATAGGAAAGTGCACAAATCATAAGTGTACATACAGCTGAGTTACTTCACAATCACTACTGGAACTGTTCTCCAGAAGTCCCTTGTGTCCACTTTCATTCACTTTTCCTCTCCACTGCCTTGCCTTCCCAAGAGTTACTGTGGACAAATATTTGGGTGATTTCTAGTTTCTGTTGTTACAGATAGTACTGTTGTATTACTGTACACATCTTTTAGTGAAAATTCAAACAGTTGCACCAGTGTTTTCACTATCATTAACAGCGTATGAGAGGTTCTGGTTGTTCCACATCCTTGCCAGAATGTTATATTATTTGTTCATTTTAGCAGCCTTTCTTTGTGGCTTTAAATTACATTTCCCTTATGAATAATGATATTAAATACCTTTCCTAATGCTTATTAGCCATTTGGATAACCTCCTTTATGAATTCTTATTCAAGATATTGCTTATTTTTCTATGAGGCTGTCTGTTTTCGTAGTGATTTGTAGCCCTTCTGTA